TAAGCAAGACAATAGAAAATATGTTATAGGGCAAACGCGGTATAAATAATAAATGGGCTGCTCGAAGAACTGATGTGACTAATGCCGCGGCGTGTGACGTACGTATTATATGCTGGATATAGTACACGTGCGCCACGAGGTAATAGAAAATTTCGATTTGAGCGGACGGTGAAATTTGTGTGATACCTCGAAACAACGGATTTCTACGGGTATAAAAATAAATGAGAGGCAACCGATCGGCAAACACGCGCGCGTAAGCATAGCGATCGTCCGCTCGTGTATAGCAGCTATACAGCCTCTGCCCGCGTACTTATACACGGAGCGCGCGCGCAACGTATACGCGGCGTATATCCGCAAAGTACCGGTAATCCCATCATCGTCAAGCATCGAAGTCACCGCACCCCGCGCTCATACTCGCGCACACACACTTACTCGTATATACTGTATAAAACGGCACGACCTTCTCGGCTCGTAGCAATGCCAAGGCCACTAACCTTCCCCCCTCGCGCCTCTTTTTCTAATTTCTAATGCTCGAGCGCGAATATAAACGTTTTATGTCATATCGGCCGGGTAAAAAAAATATACGCCTCTCGTGGCCCACATACATAGATACTCGCGCACGAGCCCACGAATCTCGGGGAAATACCGAGCGCGAAGAAAGGCCTCGTCCAAAGATGATCGAGAGGGAGTATATTATGTAGAGGCGCGCTCTGCTCTCCGAGAGAGAGGCCCATAAGGTTATTCAACTCGTTTGTTGAGTTCGTGTATGTACGTACTCACTCACTCACTTGCACACGTACACACACATACACACACAGATATATACGTGTATAGCCAAGAAACAACACGCCTGCTCGTGCCGCCGCGGACTAACGGGTCCTTCTTTCTGTATACCTTCAGCGAAGAGTCTCTCTCTCTCTCTCACATACATATACATATACACGTATAAAGACACCAAGAAGTCGACACAGAGTAGTAGCTGCGAGCACGCGACCGACCGACTCAGTGAGCCGTAAGCTTCGATACGCCTTGTGTATATGCACAAAAGAGGCGCAAGAACCGGACTGACTTTTCGTCGATTCGCCGATTTTTTTCACGCTTTTTCAGTGACCGGAAAGTTCTTTTTTCTATTCGAGTTCTCAGTGTTTTTAATTTTCAATCGCGGTAATTTTGCGCAAGTGTACAAGTTCGATCGAGTTAATCTTATTTTTTTTTGTTTTGTTCTAATTGTAAATTTCGTGTCGGGAGTGTATTTTAGGAGGCGAATGTTCTGTTTTGTTGAAGGTTAGTCGAATACTCGATTCATTTATAGCTACCAAGTTAACTCTATAAGACTAAAAAATCGAACGCCGCATGCTTTGAGAACATTCGATTGCAATGTGATAAAAGATCGGTATGCTCTCGTATTCATGCCTTACGAGTAAACACATGTATTTCGAATCAATGTTAACAGTAACGGTTAATTATAGATTCATGTAAACATGCAGGGTAAAATGTAATTGTTTTTTCTTCTAAATACATCGGAAAGTGTAGAAAATGTAGACTAACTCTTGAATTAAGCTTTATAAGGATGTAAATTCAAGCGGTGAGCATACGATTGCAAAAAACATTTGGTCTGTTCGATCGCGGATCTCTGCTGTGTTGGATGCATCTCGACCTCGATACCGACCTTTCTCTCTTTTTTTCACACTTGTAATCATCATACGGTTGCTCTGCTGTTTTCACGCTATTATTTTTAAATTTTAACTTGGCTTCACTTAGATATCAAGATTGCATCGATACAAGTTTACTGAAAAGAAACATTAGGAATCGCAGTTCAAAATTTTCGCGATCCATTTTCCTTACGTTTGCCGTCCATCCATGAATTAATTTCTCGAAAGTCATAGAACTAAATGAAGCTACATTCCTTTGACGTACGCATACCAAGCGATCATGTATCGCTACGAACAATGAAACGTCCATTGCGACCATGTAGGCGCTTTTATGTATTACGGGCCGAGCAAAATGAATTTGTTCCACCTGCGCTGGCAACGATAGCCGCATTCGTACATACGTCTGGTTTTGTACCGGAAAAAAGAACAAAGTATTATGTTTGTGCATAATGCACAAACACACATACAACATCGTTCCGACACATACTAGCTTCTGCCACGCGTGTGTGCTCGCCTACCGCCTATAATTAACATACCATTACCGAACCGTGATTTTTATCATTGCGATCCGAGCCTGAAGCAGTTTTCAACTTTCCCAAATATCATTAGACATTTTTATTTTATTTGAAATTTCGATTTTAATACGCTCGAAGGGAGGAAAGAAAAATTTCGAAAAATTCGCCAATCGGTAAAGAATCGCGACCTCGTCAAAGTCCACGAACCGATACGCCAAATTGGTGCGAAGCATTTCACGAATTAACAGAGTATGAACGGCTTCAATCAGACTATACTGTACAATTTGCATGGTGTGAGGATAAGGTTGAAGCGGCACTTATCACATACTATAAATATTTATTAATTACCAGTAATACATAATCTGATAGACTGTTTATGGTCAGCTTAGGTTGTAGCGCAATTATTTTTAATTCGAATTCAGCTATTGAGCCCCATAAAGATAATATTTCTACATTCAATTAAGTACACTTTTAGCATATAAACTGTGGTAGCAAAACAATGAGCTCATAAATTATGAACATAGATTCGAGATTTTTAGTTCTTTAATTTAGATGAATGTGCTTTATAAATACACGGAAAATGGGATGCAAGATTAGTCTTGGATATTTATCGGATATTTTTAAAAATGAAATATTTTGTGCTCGATTCAATTTGCCGGCCAAGAGCGACTATTTTGTTTCATTTTGGTATTAAAGAATTTAACTTTTACCAGCGGTTTCTGGAAGATTCACCGTGACCCAAAATTAATTTTACGGTAGTAAAAGTATTTATTCTCATTGGTGGCAGACTATTTTTATAAATTTTTCAAATCAGTTGTCGGTTAGCCGGTACCAAATAAAACCTCTTTAATTTGCGAAATTACAGAAAGTTCTTCTAGTTTAAGTACTTCTGCTATTTATTTTAAGTAGCTTCTCACTTTTCTAGCATTTATGAATGAATCGTAAATCTTTAATTTTTTAAAAGACATCAAGTTAAGAAAAACTAAAAGAAATATTATTTTTCAAAACTCAATTCACTCGTGCACGATTTTGTACGAAGTGAATCGGCTACTTAGTATGGATGATGGTATATAGAAGGTATAATATCGATGCTCGTCGAATGCGAATTGCTCAAGATTTTTCGGTTAACCCTGAAGAAGATGTCGCTGACGTGATGAAATTGAGCATTTCATTAGTAAATTAAAAATTTTAACGATTTCCATTCAAGATTTCAATGACGATAACTGAATACAATGAAATGCAATAGTGTTATACTTTACAAAAGGACTGCTTCAAATACACACATCAAGTTATTTGTTCAAATTAATCAAACGTCAAGTGAATCTTGATAAAAATTATTAAGTAAACGAAGAAAGGGAAAGTCACAATTCGCATGATAATGGAATTGTTGCCAACTCAGCACTCAATCAACAAACATGCTCAACTCATCTAGTTGAATACGAATCTGGATCTAATCAGAATCGGCATCTCGGATTGTATACATACACGGGCGTCCACCATCGCGCCTCATACTAAAAGTGCACATTTCCTCGCACGCCTTTTTACCGTTGCTTTTTTTCTCAAACGAGCCACACACACACATACATAGTACATACACACCAGCTGTGCAGCAGACACGTGCGATTCTTGCCTCTACATGCATATATACATTTTCTGTAACGGTAGTGGTCGCATCCTGCGAGTTCTAGTTTAGCATACATACAAACGCGTCTCGCCTTGAGAGCTTAATAGCTCAGGGGCGTGTTCGAGGATTATAATTTGCGCGCGAGAATGCAGCGTGTGCAGCGGCTTGGCCCCGAGCTCGAGTTATCATCGCTTTCGGGACAATGACGAGTGCGACTTTCTGGATCTGCCGGTGAAATTTTTCATTGAAAGTCATTGGGTCAATGGAAATTACGTTATTATGACACAATTGAATGCGCTTTCGTTGTCACGACAAACGCGTAGCGTTAGCTCTCAGCCCATGCGCAACTTCAACCGACAACATTTATATACATATAATTATTTGATACGCTTACGAAATGACTCGATTTTCATTGAACTAATTGTATTCTTTTTTTGGTTGCAGTGTAAAAATGCGGTTCAGGCTTGTAACTGTGGTGGCCCTGCTCGCCATCGCGAGCACGGGGGAAGGAAGGCCTAGCGAACCTGGTGAGTCGAATTTATGACTTTCAATTGGTCCGAGCGGCTTTATACACACGTAATATGCCATTGCCAACATTAATAAACCAAAGTATGCCGATACCGTTAAGCTACTTATGTAAAACCAATGCGTGCATATCGGGTAGTCATATATGGCATTTGGCATGTGTGCATGTGCGTATGTAAAGCCGCTCGCCGCCTCATAATGCGCGGCGCAAATGCCGTTACGCAATTGAAAATGAATCTAACTCTCGTTTCGTTTATATGACTGCAGGCTCAGCGACGCTTGACAGCGGCTATGCGCGAATTGCCCAGGCGCCAATCGCCGTCGGAAGTCTAGATAGCAGGTATATCTCAAGACGAAAGACATCTATGTCATCCAGTTGGAGACGCAATAACAGTATCAATACTACTAACAATCCTAGCCAATCGTCTAGGTGGCATGGACACACGGTCTTTCCACGTTTGAGATTCGAGAGCGAAAGTAAACGACAGTATTTGCCCCTTGGTGCTATGTCCTCCGTAAAATCGACTGGGTCAATACCTATAAAAAATCAGTCCAATGGCAGAAGTAACAATCACAATCCTCTGAGCATTCCTACAGCGCGATCAAATAAAGCAATTATCAAATCTGCTCCTCGACTGCAGAAATCGAGTGATAACAATAATCCTTCTCATTCATTTTCGACGTTTCCCATTCCAGTGTCTCTTCCTCGAAAAATAAATATTGCTAAAGAAGCAGAGGATCGCGTTGATAAACAATTTATCGCATACAACGATATGATACCGCGATCTTTGCCATCGACTATTACTCGTAAAAATTACATGAATTTTCAAAGTGTACCTACTCGAGTAGATAAAAAAGTTGTTTCTAACCGGACATCAACTCCAAAACCTATCCCTGTTACCATATCGCACAATACTGTCACCTCGAATGTGCCCAGTCGTGATCAACGGAAGATGCTAGCATCAAGGACTCTTGTTAGGCTTGTACCGACTCTTTTAAAAACTGGACCAAATAGCCGCAGAAATTCGACAACTTTTAAATCTAAGCTACCGAGCGAAGAAATTTATGCCAATAGTTGGCCGAACGAAGCTTTGCAAAATGTTCACGATCTTTTGAATTACGAAAAATATACGTCTTTTGAGGAGGATATTGATAACGACAAAAATCATTTATTTAATGACAAATTAGCTGAGCTAAATGTCAAGCAAACTACTACGATCCCACCGGATACTACAACAATCCAAGCGCAAAGTATTGAAACCCCTATTGTTTCATCAACGTCAGAAGATAATTCCATTGACGTTGATTCAAAAATTCAAATCGATAATCTCCTAGAAGATCTCGGAAAAAGTAGACATCCAAATATTCAAACGTCCTCTGAAATCAAACAAAATACAGTCATTCAGATACTCAATCCTATTAAAAAAAATCCTAATAATATGACATTTGCTATTCCCATGAAATTCATTAAAGAATCGTACAATAAAACAAAAACTGGAGTAAACAAACCTCAAAAGGTTAATATCATGTTTTTTGAAAACAAATCAAATCAAACAACGCAACATCAAACATTGCCATCAGATCTTCTAGGAATTGTCGATGATTGTCCAACTATCATGATCAATTCTCTGACTCAAATTAATAATACTATCGAGAGTAAAGAAGGGTGTAGCGACCTTAATATTGTAATTAATTCTCACGTTTTAAATACGAACATTGTTAAACCTGGCTCTAGTGGACAATCTGCCCAAAAAGATCCTAACTCTGTGAGTTCGAGTGATTCTACTACGGCTACCTATCCTTCCACCTATCAATCTAGTTATCAAACTGGACCAACGTCTTATCCACCACAGGGACAAATTAATGATTATTACAGTACTGACAAAAATCCAGGAGGTCAGGCATTATCGGATAGACCTGCGGGGTCAGAATCCAATAGCAATTCACCAATTATATCTACACTCGAACTATTTCAAAATACACAAATCAATATAGGCGGGAATAAACCCAGCCAATCAATTGGAGAGGCTCAAGATGAAGCACTTTCAGAAGGCTTAGATTCCGCGGGTACTAATGCAGATGGATCGCCTTTAACTGATCCTAATGAAGCTACGAATGATATTACGGGTACAGCTCCAGCCAATAATGCCGGTGGAGCTACTAATATTCCTACAGCAACTGCAGCTTCAGCTGATGCTGCATCTGGTATGTTTACAGCTCCAGATACAGCAGCTAATGATGTTGGAACGGCTGAATCTTTAAATAGTGGCACCTCTGGACTTTCTCTACCCAGTATTCCCAATTTACCAAGTCTTCCTAATCTTCCCAATCTCCCAGGGGGTACGGGTAATTTGTTGGGAGGATCGGGTGGTAGCCAAAGTGAATTGACAGCTCTAGCCGGAGGTGGGGGTGACGATGAAGATGATTTTGAAGAAGAAATATTAGATGCCTTATCCCCCGCAGGCTTGTTAGATTCAATGTCATCAGTATATTCATACTTCTCGGTTCTTAATCCCATCAACTACGGTATATTCGGTATGGCTGTAGCACCATTTATGGCTTTTGCAGCAGGCGTTGTTGGTGTTGCAGCTTTTCTTTTCCCGTGGGCTTTTCCAAGTAGTTTTGACATAGCTAGGTCATGGAGGGGAGGGGGGAACGTGAACTCAAATATAGGGTTTGATTTTGGTTTAAGAAACATTGTACAAAGTTCTATTCTCAAGTACAGACATTTGAATGAATGGAAGGGTCGAAGGAGGAAGAGAAAAATCAAAAGATGAATTCAATATTATTAAGGAATATGTTTTCCTCAGTTTCCTTAAGAAAATATTTTGCATCCCAGTCATGAGCAATTCCTTACCTTGGAAAGAGCAATTGCAATCAAAACGATTTAAAAGTTGTCGAATTAATACTAGAAGTTTGCTTACGACGGTTTACTATTTACTGATTTAGAATTGTATCCATGTACACAAATTTGATCTCGGTCATATGAAAATAATTTTCAATGTATCATAAACATTGTAAGTTGGCTTTTGTCCATTTTTTAAAAGAGGATATCAATGTCACGAATATTTTTTACAGTAATTTACAGTTGCAGTATGTTACTTTCAAAAATGGAATTCAAACAAAAACTGATGCGTCACGCCTATGGCATGGTGGCTAGCTCTTTCATTACTAATATTTTAATTTCAGGTCTTCTTAATTAATCATTATAATGTAGAATAAATACTGTGTTCACTCATTTGTATTATTATCTCATGATTTACATAAATGTATAGGATGTATAAACATTTTTCGTGAAAGTATAATGTAAAAATGTATACGTATAAATGACTAATATTGATAAACCAGACAATGAACATTGAAGGGACTAATCTAACAAAATATGTTATGAATTTTATAATATAAAAATTATTTATGCTATTTCCGGTTTACTCAGTCTACTTCAAAATCCAGAAGTTGTCTTGATGATCGAAACGGACAAAAAAATGTATGAATGTTTGGTTAATACACGTTTTTTAATAATTAATTTTGAGAATTACGTTTTTACTTTTTTAGATAATTTGTAATCATTAGCTTCATTTTCTACTATAAATTACGATTTATGATTATTCTTAAGTTTATGTACGTTAGCTAGCAGCTTATACTATAAAATAGAAAATACACATAATTAATTCTAGTAAATGTTGTACGTGATCGAGGAATAATTTTATTAAATATAGAAACGATGTATGAACCAAACTTTCATAGGTACGTGAGTATTATATTCAATTTCATACTTCAGTAAAGGTTTTAATTTTGTATACTTTGGAAAAAATCTAAAGTGTATTTTCATCGAATGTATTTTATAATAAATGCACAATCTCTGTGAAAATAATCAGAGTTCGTTCATTTTTTCATCCCATAATGATTTTCCATCCAATTAAACATTTTTTTTTTATTTTTATTGAAATCTCATAAATTACGCAACAATTATAGTATTTTTGATATACAATTTTTATTACAGGCAAAAGCAATCTCGAGAGTTGAAGGATATCCAAAGTATGGATCAATCATTACGAACAGTTGCCACGCAACTACTAAATAGCACATCGACTCGCGAAGAGATCATTAGTATGCCCGATGACAAGATCGAGACTATGGATACACCAATTCAGGTTGTTCATGTTTCAACTCTACTCTCAGATGCAAGTCCAGAAAGTCATAACGACGGCAAAGAAAGCCCCACTCGAATGAAGTTTGGAATTCCCGTGAATTCTAAATTTGGACATTTTGAAGTGACGAACCCAGGACATGCGATGGCAATGACTGAAGAAGAAATCGAACGGGAAATGGCAACTGCGACTCCTCCTCCCAAAACTACCACTGGTATGCTATCTACGTGGATCCATTTATATCCTCAATCAACAGCAACTGAAGAAAAAGTTGTTACAGAAATAAAAGCAGGCTCAGATTCAGATTCGTATGTGACGTCGACTACTACAAAATTGTTGCAAAATACAGTGAAGCTGACTACCACAACTGCTAAGCCAAAAAAGACTGAAACGTCTGCAACTACGTTGTCTCATAAATCTACTGAACCTGTAACAACAACAAAAAAAGTAACCAAGTTTACAGGCAGTACTTTTAAGATGAGTTCAACTACTCCAGCGTTCGTGACAACAGAGGAAAAATTCACCGATGCAGGTTTTACAGACACTACTCAAGAGCAGCTCACAACCCAGGAACCTGCAACTACAAAAACAGCTCCTTCTACAACTACTAAAAAACCAAAAAATAATGCCACTCAAAAAGTAAAAAATTCGTCGAAAAATCCTGGTAACAAACCACAAAAGAGTGGCACGAATAGAGTAAAAGTCACTCCCACGAGACGTCCAAGTTTGCATAAAAATGAATCAGTTACCAGCACATCCAGAATTGAAAAAGTAACTTTAAGACCAACAACATTGTCTCTAAATCGAAATGAAAGTACCGACAAACCTCACTTTGTCACGAAAATTAAAGCCTCTTTGATGACAGACGGTCAAAAAACAACTCCAGCAACTCCTGCTTTGACATCTTCTACTCCAACCAACATGAAGCCTTATAGTTCGATCCTTTTAAAATCAAATTTCACCAACGCAGAGAAAAATGAAAACAAAATTCCTAGTCCTACGCAAGTGAATAATTTCATGAAAGTTCAAGTTAAGAAGCCGATAATATCTGATACGACCAAAATTGAAATTCAACCTATTCAAGTGAATCCACCTGTATTGACGATCGAAAAAATCGGAGAGGCGAATTCGGAGAAAAAAGATAAGATTCAGCAAGTTACAGATAGTCCATCTTCAGTGGTCAAAGTAACTTCGAACGTTGAATTAGCGGCAAGTGAACGACCATCTTCACCTACAACTATTACTGTGACTACTCCTACTACAACTACGAAAAAACCCCGTGGCACAAACAAACGCAAGAAAAATAAAAATCGTCGTCGTAAGCAGTCGACAACTTCTACGACTACAGCAGCCACGCCAACGGACTCATCGGATGAAGAAGATGCTACATTTGATACCTTGGTAACCAATGCTCTCGAATTAGCTGGTATTCAAGAATCAAAGATCGAACCTGAATCGAAAATTCCGCCCAAAAAGAAAAAGACGACTCCTAATACACAGGTCCAAAAGCCATTCGGCACTCAAATTTACAATTTCCTTAGCCGCGAAGTCATGCCTAGCGTAGGTGTGATGTCGTTGGTTGGATTAGGTCTTGGTTTGGCTTCTTACTTCTTATATCCATTCGGTAGTGTGATTTCCAGAAGAAATTATGAGGTAGAACCAAACTATAAATACAACTTGGACGAATATGGTGGAAATTATGGTTTGAGCGAAGAGGAAGTACTGTCTAAAGTTTATTCGGGAATGACTCCTAACCAGCACAATGATAAAAAGTACCCTACAACAAGTGAAAAGAGTCAGAATTATTATCGATACTCAGGTATCGAAACAACTACCAGATACCCAAGTGTCACCAAGTCAGCAAATCGCGTAATCTATCGACCTGTTGAAACGACAGCTTACGATGTCAATTACAGAAATAATGAATTCAAATACCCCGATGTGCAAACGACGCCAAATTATTATGAACGTCAGAGGCAAAACAGTGAAGCCGAATTCGTGCCGGCAATGAGCAAAATGACAGTTGGTAACAATCGTCAATTCGTTGTTGGTAACATTCCTAAAGAGTATGAAAGCGAAAAAGTTTCCGAATTATTCTCTACCAACGATAAGCTGAATCACAATCTACAATTTGCTACAGAAAAAAGTTTTTCCAGCGATAACATGCCAAGCTCAGCCACGACTGCAGAACCCTTAGGAAATCCAGCAGCATTGATTTCTCAATCAAGAGAAGATCCGTCTCGACTATTATATGATGATATGGAAATATCTCCCGATGCTGTTGCTATTGAACATGGTCCAAGGTCCTTCGGACCAATCATCGAAGGAACTTCAAGAGTTCAATCAGCGAAACCTAGGTCACTTCGTGTGAAAAGATCCATGTCCGCAGATACTGACTCGGTAATTCAGATGATACCCACGAAAAGTGAAATAGCGAAAGAAAAACAAGAGGAAGAACAAGAAAAAGATCTCAGCAATGAAATTTTAGATATTATTGACGAAGCTTTACCAGGAAATAAGGACCATCCAATGAAAAAATATGACAAGAAGGAACCAACAAAAATGACAACGATGAATCACGAACAACATACTAAAAATAATGTACCGCACGCAGATGAAAATAGTAAATCTTCAACGTCTTCTAGTATTAGTGTACTTAACACAAGCACTCACAAGTAAGGCAGTGATTTTTACTTTTATTTTATCCAAGAGATGGGCATTGTTTTATTCAACTATTGAATGATTTTTACAGGTCAGAAGCAGTGATGACTTCAACTCAAGGGCCCAACGTATCCATTGATATCAAGAAAGACTCTACTGAAGCTGTAGATTCGCTGAATACAAAAACTACGACAACAATGAAAAATACTGATCTTTTCGATTCGAATGATACATCGTTTGATTGGGATGATTTCAAAGACACTTCTACGAAACCATCAGTTATAGAAAATTTTAGCATTTTCGATTTTGCCAAGAAAATTATAGAAACTAAAGTGAGGCTTACCCTTACAGTTTTGAAACATGCAAGTGAGGGCTTTGCAAAGTATCTTGGTCAAGTAAGAAAAAATTATGATCATGGAAACTAAAAGGGTAGATAAATTTATTTAAAAAAGTATCTCAACTCTTACTTAAAGCTACAATTGATTGATGCTTACGATAATTATGATTAATGAATCATGTTGGATAATCAATCGATTTGGTCCAGTTAAATTTTTACCATTTTTAAATAAATGAATTTCACGATTACTGTAACAACGACTGATAATCATAAGCTGATGTACTTTTAGAATATTTATTAATGTAACTTCGATAACTAATAATTTTGTATAGTACGTATAGATAACGCAATTTTAGAGTTGTCACTTTGCAACACTTGAAATCATAGAAATTTGAGTACTTTACGAGTGAGGTTTTTAATAATGCCGAGGTTATTATTTTAGATTTCAGAATTGTCAGTACTGCGAGAAAAAAACGGTATAAATTAATTCTAATTCGTAAAATGTGTATATATTGAAATAAATTAAAGTATAATCGTAAGTTTTTTATTATTTAGAAATACATATATTACATTTAAATGTAAGTTGATAATAACAAATAAATTGTAGAATTAATGAATTATTAGATAATTTTGTAATCCATGAATGAGCGATTTTAACCATAAACAAAAACTTGTAAACGCATAAAATCTAATTTAGTAACATAATTACAAATACTTTGGATGTCGCTGAAAATGAATACATTTTTTATACCAATTACACGGATTAAACAATAAAATCATAAAAATGCGAGTTAAAAAATGAATGATTTTTATTACATTATCATAACTATAGCTATATAAATGATGATTTTAAAAGCATTTTATACAATATGAATTATACGATGTAGCGTTAATAATGAAAAGTGTTATTATCCATGAAATTTCAACATGAACTTTATCATAATTTTGTAATGAGATTGCGACTACTGACTAAATTAATTGGATACATAAGAATAATTTACTACGCAATGTTCGCTAATCAGTCTTTTTGCTATTGTCAACTTGGTGAATTTTCGCTTCACTAATAAGTTGTTATTTCAGTGAAAAAAAGGGGAATCGGAGTAGATAGTTCATGTTGATTTTAACAACACAAAAATTAAAATATTATGTTGCAATATGAAAGTTTACTTTCATGTAATTTTAAATTTTCTATCTAATTTTTCTAAACATACTTTTTGTATATAAAACTTTTTTTCATGACAAAATTAGATTGCTTATTCTTTTATGTTTTATATCTAAAACGAATATGACTTACTTTTCTAAAAATGCATACATCAATGAGATTTTAAATTTATGGTTGAACGTTTAGGGGACATAAATCATTTTTAATTACAATGAATTCTTCATTTCAGCCATAAACTTAAAATTACATTTAAATATTTATATTATAGTTCTTATACTAATAAATCTTCTATGAAAACTTATTTATATCACTTTCGAGACTGATGAAGATATTAAAATTGGCCAAATTAAAAAATTATACTGAGAAAATGATTTACGAGGTAAAGATTGAAAACAATCAATTTTTTCTTGGCGTCTTACATCAGACTTATAGAAAAGTAGCTTTACCCACATTATTTTAATTTACAATTAACATTGTTGTACTTTACATTCTCCTTAAGAGTAATTCAGGTGATATCCTTGCTAATCTAATATCTTCATCTTGAAAATGGATGTGTCGTTTTTTACGGCCAAGCATCATTGGGATCATCATAGCCATTGTGGCTGGTAACATACCCGCACCAACGGCCGCCAAAACAGCCGAACCCGGAGATAGGCCAACACCGTGAAGCCCTGGCTTACCATTAACAACAATCGGAGAGTTGCCGGGGTTAGCCAGCAAGCCTAGCTTCTTTTTCTGTTCATATTCTCGTTGACTTTGGTCAACTGTTTTGAAGGTTTTTTCGACTTCTAATAGGCCACCGTGCGAAGTTGTTGTATTGGTGCCATTTAAAGATGGTAGTACTGTTAATCTGACCTGTGAAAGAAATTTTTTTCATTATTTTATTCCATAGTTCTGTTATTTAATTAAATTTTTTCAATTCCATTTCAATTTCATATTATCGCAGTAAATTAGCATTTAATTTTTGTCTGAGAATATGATTAATATAATTACCAACGCAAAATTAAATTATACTGAAATTCAAGTTAATTTTTATTTAAATACATTGCGAGTACTTATTATTGCGTGTACTACGTATTCATTGCAGTCTATGAATTAATCATAAGTGATTAAATTAAATTTTTTTTTATTATTCTACGTGTTTTGTGTTATTGAAATGGAATTTGTCAAGTAGCTGTAAGAGCTTAGACGAGTGAAGATAAATTGTAAGATCTAAGTGTGTGCAAAATATTAATGATACATGTTAGTATCTTGAAAAGACTCTTGATTGGCTTGGAAGAATACTTTTTTTTGTTTTAAGTGAATTCATCAATTTTCTTACTTCATATCATTTTCAATAGTTATGCAATCGTTGACTATCAATGAGTCCTTTCAAACCCTTCAACCTCACCGATCTCACCTGCCTTTTTGAGGTGACGGCTGGAACGTATTCCTCCTCGTTGGCAGCATTGGGCTGATGTCTTTTCTTTTCTGCCTCATTAGCCTCAACTATTTTGTCCAGTTTTAAGGAACGTTGTCTGGTTTTAGAGTAGCCGCGATTTGTCGAAAGTAAAACCCAGTGACCGTCACCACTGGTTGGGTAGTTCTGAGGATGACCTGCCTCACCCGACGACTGGCTGGGATACTGATACTGGGAAAAATGTGGTCTATCGTAGTAATCGTCGTGATGATTGGGGCGTGGATATTTGTTGTAGCTTGGAAAATCGTTTCTGTCGTGCCATCCGTTAGGTTCGCTCACGTAAGTCTCCACTTGATGCGAGTAACTTGGCCTGTAGATTAATGTTTCGATTATTAATTTGCAATAATATAAGCTTAAATTTTTTTTTTAATAAATTACTTTGAGCCTGGACGATCCCAGGAGGGGAAGTTTGGAGGTCCATTATCAGTTATGATGTCCGAACTCGGTCTGGAGTTGTCACCGTATCTGTCCCACGAGGGACGCTCTGGGGGCCATTTTTGAGCCTGGCTGGGATTTTCTTCGTATCTGTCCACGTAGCCTGGCCGCTGATTTTCGGGATACCACGGCTTTGAAGCTTGCGGTGGATTATCAACCCATTGTGGCTTGTTGTGCCTGATATTTTTGATAAAATGAAAAGTTTTCTACCGGCGATTTTGGCTTGCATATGAAAAAACTTGCTCACCATGATGGTGGTGGCTTGTTACTTTCGTAAGAAGCCGGTCTTGACGGAAACTCCGAGTTCCATGGCTTGTTACCGTAGCTGCCGGGTTTCGAATCGGGCCAAGGTCTTTGCGACGTTGGATTGGCTTGCCACTTGGAAATTTTACTCTTCGACCAAGGTATGGCATCGAGAGTAACCCATCCATTATTCCTTTCATCTCCGTGGGCATTAGCGGAGTAGTATTTTTGGCGTTTGTTTGTGTCATTCAATGTCGTCTGAATAAAAAGAAATTCTTTCAGTACTTGTAGAAAGGAGATATTAAACGACAGTTTAAAACGAAACTTTAATAAAAACAAAAATCGAAATGAAAGTCAGAACTTTAACTTAATATTTTTTCAAAAAAAGATAAAAAAAAGATAGAAAAAAAGATTGTAATAACAAAAAAACTTTGAGGTATTTGGTATTGAAATAAAAATCTAACGGTACTTAAATGAGACAAAGCTAAAAAGATTTTAGAGGGTTAATTAGAGGTAAATTCGTTTACTAATCGAAGTTATCTCATCATCTATAGATAAGAAGAAAATTATTCCAACTAAAAAATTACGTTGTAATTTTCATTTTAAGAGTTATAACTACAATAAATTTATTAAAGTAAAAAATAATTATTATCATGAGAGTACATCGATTTGTCTTGAGGGTGTTTCAGAGTACCTGTTCTGCAAGGTGATTTATGGCCAACGAGGCAGACTTTCATATTAGTTACTTTAAATTCTCATTTAATTTTACTTCTAAGAGTCTAATAGGAAAGCGGATTAGATGCGAAGTAATTCGTAGTCGTAGTAGATGCGAAGTAACAACATAAAAAAAGCGAAATGGTTTTTGCTCATACCTCTGCCGGCAAAAGTTCCGAATCGGAATTTCCCGCGATATCGGCCAGTAAACCTTGCGGCTTGAGTTTTGGCTCGTCTTCTTGTGGTCTCTCCGTCGTACGTTTTATTTTATTCGCATATTCTTCTAAAAATCGGTTCAAAACGTCTGGGTCGAATGTCGAAGGCGACGCTGTCGTCGAGGTGTCGTAGGAGCGTCGATTTTGAAACTTTCCATGGTGTTTGTAGTAAAAGCGATTTTCGGCTTGCACCGCTGCAAGCGTTGCAGCAAGCAGAACAAAACACACTACGCCCTTCGACAGCATGATCTGAATTTTTGAAGTAAAATTAAACGTTAAAATGAATATGAATTTGAACATCATTCGAATGAAATTGTAGAAGTTTAGATTTGGTGAGTGAATAATCGAGTGAATCGAAAAAAGTTATTGAGGAAACTACATTGTGGATGAACTAAGTTTTTCTATTCAAAAATATTATTTCAATAGTAATTTACACACGTTCTAACTCAACGTGTTTGTAGTTTTAAAATCTTACTAACGTGTCATAAAGAGCTCGTATGTTTTTGCTCTAGTTGTGTTGCTCTATCTCTTTTATAAAGTAGAGAGGAACTTTTTCAGAGCTTAACGCTCGTTCTAATGAAATAAATTATAAACTTTGAGATTTTTCAAATGTTTATAAAATTGTATATTATTATTAATTTTACGTAAAATACACGACGTTAAAAAAAATTACAATAGGATAAAAGTAGAAAATGCAAGCAAAGTGCAAAAAGTAACTTTTTTATACTAGCTGAAATTTCTCGCGGGAAAAAAATTCTCAGCGATTAACACAATTTCCATCGCGATAGTAAATCTGCAGCAAGATCGATCGCATGGCCTGCAGCACTTTCCATTCCGTATTATTCTATATATAGTACGAAAACACTCTCTCTTTTTAAGATATATGTGTGTGTACATAATCTGCACATGACACTGACCGTCAACAATCTAGGCTGCTGTGTTGAATAGCGCGCTCGGCCCCAAGGGAAATCGTGAGGTGCACTTTGCAGTTGGAGGATTACATAAAGCCGGTAGCTTTATCTTTCGTAGATTTCGGAGGATCGCGAAAATTCTCCCAAGATACAGTCGCGTTTGTCCGCTAATATTCGCACACTCTCGTCACTTCACGCGCGCGAAAAACTGACGCTGCTGCTGCTGCTGCGATCGACTGGAATAGCGCAGCGCCTCGGACGATGAGATCCCCTTCGCTGCTCCTCCTCGACTGTCGAAAATCGTCGGTGGAAAAATAAAGCGTCGACGGCGACGACGACGACGACAACGACGAGGACAAAAAATATGAAGAACTTGACCTCGACTGTTCAAGGTCCGAGATGGCTCTGGCGCCGGAGACGTTGGCCCCGTTTGCTTTTAATCCAGATCCCCACCAGGGCACCGGAGACTATACTACCGCCGCCGCCACCGCGTGTATATCGCGCGAGCGCAGCATATACGTGTTGTGCATGCACTCCTGCGCCAATGCACCTAGGCAAATCGTGCCCGCTTCGGTCCATTTTATATCTCACTTCTGTACTTGGTGTACATTTACGATGTGACTAAAAAAGAGAAAGATAGATACGTTGGAGCCTCGATCGAGCGCGGGGGAAAAGGGAGTTGGACAGCGAATTTATCATTTGCTTTTTCATCGATGCTCGATTAATAGTTTTTTTTTTTTTTTTCATTTTATCAAGTAAAAAAATCGCATATCGAGATGGATCGAAAAATATGTATTTTCAGCAATTATGAGAAAGTTAGTTAAATTTTATCAATTGCATCGTTTTTCACCGTTGACGCAAACGAAAAACGTTTCGGCCGTGTGAATAAATACGTAGATATCTCGGCGAAGGAACAACAGCTGCAACCGAAGAAACTGCCATAAACTATCCCCGGTCATTATACGATTTCCAAGAGAGCAAATATAATATTCCAGGCTGTGATTTTCGCTCTTTTCCCTTTTTCTAATTCGCTCTCGCGCGGAGAGGCCGGAGCAGGAGTGGACGTCTCTCGCGCGCGCGATTATCGTGATTCTCCATCTGAATCGAACGGGCACACATATACATACACTCACACTTTTACCTGCAGCGAGAAAATCGAACGCGTTTTCGATTCTGGCATTTTTCATTATAAGCCCCCCGCAATTTATCGTCCTAGGGCATACGAGCATCTGGTATGCTAACGTTTTTTCTCGTCTCTTTATCTTGTACATGACATCGACTACCGAGCGAACTTTATTTATAATTTCGCTTTACACCGATCGAATCTAATAGATTATTAATCTGATAACTGTGGTCTAACTGCAAGCATTGTTTGGGCGGAAAAAATTGCAAAAATCGCAAAATCAATATGTTGAAAACAGTAAGGTCTTTATCGAATTTTTTGATAGTTTTTATACTACTGGAATGAATGTTAAACGATGTTTGTTTATATTTACCTTAGAAAAGTCTCAAGTATCACTGCTGTACATTTTTCGATTTTATCCTTTCCTGTGATTTTGAATCAATGGATAATTTTTATCAAACCGTACCACAACGATTATCTTTTTGAAATTCGGAATTTTTTTTCATAGTTTCACAATTTTAGAAATTTCCTTACCAAATGCTTAGCTCATAAATTGGATTTAACTGACGTATTTTCTCATTTTTTTAATTGTTTAAAAAATTGAACTTTCAAGAAGAAACCGATTTCGAGGATTTCTAGCAAAAGCAAAGCACCAAAGAGTGAAATCGTGAGATGTAGTTTCAAATGCATCCTGGTAGTCTGTTTTTTATGTGATCCATAACTATCATCAACTAGACCAGAATCAACATGTTATTCATTATTTTCTTCTGCAGCTGTCTTTATGGCTTCAAAATAGTTGTAATTATAAAACATTGTAACATGGAGTGCAAAGAAACTAACATATATATATTAACGTATCCCCGTCGTCCAGACAAAGTCTACGATTCTACTGCCCGAGTAATCGAGTTTATCGTAGTTTGTAGCGATGAGGCCTCGGAATCAATCAACTAATTGGCATCACTTAACGATTGAAAACAGAGGATAAAACTTCGGTCTTATTAACAAAAGGATCATCGAAGAAAGCAATGTGCCCTCATAAGTTCTGTATAAAACGTATCGAGTCGTAATTTTTAGTTGTAAAAAAAAAGAAAAGGAGTGAAAAGTACGGAAAAGTGTCATCTCAGTTCGAGTTTCATCTTAGTATTAACAGACTGCAACGAAATAGAAATAAAAATTTAACTTTCTTGAGATGATGCTGATATCCCAATATGCATCATGAACTTTAATTGTGACACATAAGAGTGAGATAACGAATGTGAACTACCAGGGAAGCGGTACTGTGAAAAATTTTCAAAAACAACTCAATCAATGAAGGCGAAACGGAAAATGAAATTTAAAATAGAGCAGTCAAAAAAATAAAAAAATAAAAAAAAGGAGGAAAAAACACCGCAAATTTCACCGCTACCGAACAATGGGGCCTTTTTCGCAATCGTAAATCATTTCTCTCTGCGTCGCGGGCTCTTTCGGCTACTGCGCTGCGCCAGAGCTACTACTATTGCGCATTTTCTCGTCCCACTTTCTTTCGCAGTGCAGCGTCATTTAAATTGCAATTATATGTATGTATATACGTACGTGTGTACACGTGTATAATAATGAACTTGAGCGATTGTACATGGCGGAGATTCCCTCCGACGATTTGTCGAATTTATATCGCGTGCGGTGCGGAGGTGGAGAAGAGGACGAGGAGGGAATCTTCATCCCGCAATACGACAATGAAAGCACATGTATAATAGCCCGTCGTTTTATTATTGCCTGTAAATAAACTTGATGGAAGTTGCCAGCGCGACGAGGATGACGACGAGATTACTCTGGCGCACGATAAATTTCATGCAATGCTCGTCGCATATTTATACCGCGAATTATATTATACGAAAAATTGCCGGAGCGACACGCGATATTGCTCGTAATATGCGTGCATACGCGGAATGATTACTCGCTTCGTTTAAGAGACAATGAACCTATCCAGGCCGATGATCGTGTGCGGGCGTGCGCAGAGCGCGTGCGGCATCAGTGAAATTTCCTACCTAAAATAATACCTAAAATAATGCCTCGGCTGCAATAATATGCTCGCGCGTCGGGACATTTTCCATTTCGTTTTTCAAATGTCTTTCGGCCAAAACAAGTACCTGCTCAAAAGTGTTTACAAACAATTCAAAGTGGTCGGAAGTGTAGCGCAACGCGCGCCACGCGCTAATTATTTCAAGGCGTATCTCGTCGTCGTACTTCTCAACCCTGCTGCTGCTGCTGCTGCTGCTGCTGCTGCACGATGCGCGTGTAACGTGTCCACCTCCTCCTCCGTGTATATCTTTTGTCAAAATCCTACTTTCACCGTTTAACTGCCTGCCTGGCTTAGAGTGGAAGCGCGCGCACACAACAAGTCATAAAGCAACTGTGCGCTGATCTTTTATAGGTTTTTCTTTCTTTTTTCCCGCGAAGGCCTTTTACTCTCTTTCTTTTTATTCTTTTCTCTTTCGTGCGTAGATCCTTCTTAAAGATAGTTATTGAGCCAATTTTTTTGTTGCTCACGGTCACCTACGACTCGCTGCTTTATGCTTTTCGTTTTCGAAACTTTTATGCGAAGCTTTCGAGACAATTGGAATAATTTTGACTTGGGCAGGAAATCTTGAAAAGGTTTTCTCGATAGAAATCATCGAGCCTTGCAACTGATGAACGACGTGACTTAATCTTACATCATAAAATAAGTCTCTATCATGTGGAACCCATACTCAATATTTTGCCGCAGCGCTCGTACTCGATGCATGCAACGATTTTTTCATCTATTGTCATCGAGAAATCCTACTTTCCATTTAAAAGAAAAAAAAACGAAAAAAAAAGAATCAGGTCTCGTCGAAGGATCAGCGAAAGCAAGTCGTGCAGCTCTTGTTGTTGCTGCTGCAGCTACGCTGCAGCAATAATATGATTCATCCAATCGTTCAAGTCTTCCTTTTTTTCTCTCTTCTTTTCCCCCGACTGACTTGCCATTGTTTCGCCTCATTTCTGCAGTCCGAAAACAAAGTCTGTGTTTTCGCAGAAGCTTTTGCGGTCGAAAGTAATTTGCCGCGCGCACTGGCAGCTCTCCTTTCTTCACCCGGATCCTTTTTGTTTTTATTTATATAGATATGTTATTACATGGCCGCTCGCGCGCATAATCGCTTGAACGCACTGACATTGATTTTCTTGCGATTATCGCTCACTTTTTGGATCTTACGCTCTGAATAGCAAATGACCGCGCGGTGCCTATATATAGAATGTGTAAGATGAATTTAATTGTTTTCGAATTGCATCATTGGGTGGTTGCGATTTTCCAGCCGACTTTTTTCTCACATATATACCAGGCGATGGTTGCATCGAAAAAAGCTCGGCGTGTACCAGAGTTCACCGCAAGGATTAGATTTTTTCACATGGTCGTCGTCGTTCTAACGTAGCCTGCGGGCTTCTTTTCCAAATTACAGACTGCAGCTCGTACGATGGCCGTTAGGATGTATATGTGTTTGGCCATCAAGCGAATAAAAGCAGTCATTAACCGTATGCAGCCGCGTGCAGTGCGCACCGGTGCACACACAACGAGCCCGTACGAGAAACGAGAATTCAGCCATATCGAAGATATAAGGCCTAATGGGCGATTGTTTTGAGCCGGTACGAGGCCAATCGCTTAATCAGCTCGATCAAATTCGATGCCTTGGCAGTTGCCACAACGTAAACACATCGAGAATGTCATCTCGGAATCTCGAGTGTGGAAGGACCTCCAAGGTAATAAGTACCGTCTGCAGGCTGCTATACGCCGTATAGATAGACGAGCACAATGGCCTACTGCGTGAGACTCGGCATAAGCGCGCGCGGTGTCGTATATATTCTCTACATGTATATATATAGCTGATCCTCAAGAAAACGAGGACAGTCTAACTTTCATTGTCGAGCGTAGTCTACTTGTCGCGTTTGCTCTCCAGATGATAGATCTCGTCGGGCGATATGATACACTGCGGATCGCTTTCCTCATCAACACGTTCTATCGCATTAGAGCCTAATTTTTTTCTTTGTTAACGTGTAAGCACGTGACATTTTTACTGTTTATTTTGAATTATTAAAAAAGCCCGCGGCCATCGCCGCATCGAGCGCAAAAAACTTGGATCGTTTGCCAAACTGCGATCGCCTAAATTTTACGCGATTTGCGTAATGTTTTAGATGCATGTTATAATCTCGGTCTCGAGCTTTGATTTTATTCAACGATAGAGAGCAAGGATAGCTTTCGATCGATGAGATAATAAATTCAACCCTCGAGGATTACGGTATAATTGTCACGCATTTAGCAATGGCTTTTCGAAATTTGAAACTAGAAAATTGTTACTGTACTGCAACGTAGCGGTAAAAACATTAAAGATATTGTAAGACGATACGGGAAGAGATTGGCAAAAGTATTTACGTGTGTGTGTGTGTGTCTATATATGCACGTATAAGTATAAAGTATAAAGGGACTATAACAATATTTGTGTATACATAATAGCAAGACACGGTGGTATTTAACTGTAATACTTGGGACCGTAATGGTGCGCGCAGGCGAGCGAGCGAGCAAGCGCAAGATTAAACGTATTATCGTAAGATATGACACAAAAGCTCGGCCTTTAGTCAGATATGCTGCATTACACCGTGCTGCATTTGTTTGATACCCATTTGCGTGGCTCATTTTCGTAGGACTCGCGCGACTGTAAGCCAAAGTCATTTTCTAGAAAGTTTAATCCAGAATAACGTCATCGGTAATTCGAGCTGCCTCTGATGCTACACATATTAAAACCAAATTGACCTTTCAGTTATTTCAAGCTCCGTTTTTCAGAGTTCACGCATCGCATTGTAACGCCAGCTACGTAGCTGTCCCTTTTCATTATATTTATCGGAATTTTTAATTGCTCCGAACAGCAAAGAGATGTTTATCGAAGTATCGTATCGTTTTTCCGACTGAGCTAACTGTACTCGCGCCAAACCCTTTTATCTCTATCTGCAATCGTGTTAGGCACAGCTTTTAAGTCGAGCATTACGGCAGATCTCGTGCTACCGTGGAATCCGTGGAGTCAGAAATAGAAGGACAAAAATAAAACGATACATCTCACTTTTCATGCTGCACAGTCGCTGATCGCCATTAGATTTTGTATGTGTCCGTGGACGAGTAACGAGACTTGTAGCTGAAACGGACCTACCCTATCTAACGAGCATGACGAAAGCATTAGCCAAGAAAAAGCTCGGCTCTTTCTCGCGCGCGCGCGCATACTTGCGCGTTCGCACTCGTCATCTCTCGCGTTCACGCTTTTTTGAACAATTGCCCTTTCCCCTAGCTGACACCCACCCATTCAACACTTTTACTGCGCTAAAAGATAGCAACACCAGTAGCTGTAAAGGAAATTCGCTCAGGTGCTCTGGCGGACGCAGCACTTGGTGCGGCACTTCTCGCTCCTCCTCGCAGGTGTGATCGTTTTTGCGCCACGGCAGGTCTCTGTCTTTCCTCGCCGTCGTACCGAATGGACAAAAATACGCATTCCACCAACAGCAGCGATGGCTAAGTCTTCCGGATTAATACTGCTGTTCGCGATCGGTTTTTTTGCGCTTCTCGTGACAGCTGGAACACCGATTGCCGCCGCGCAGCTAACCAAGAGCGACGAAAACGTGACTAAGTTTGCACTGCAGGATGAAGATATCTTAGACCCAACGGCTACCGGAGATCTCGAAATGATGCAGGACGCGGAGGATGCCGCGTCTTCCACGGAAACAACGCTGACCAGCACAATGTGAGCAAATTTTCTTACCCCAACTCAAGTGCGCACTGTTATGTAATCAATTGCATATTCTTTTTTCTCCAAGCTACCTCTCAAAGCTATTGAGTGACTAGATATGTTTTTTTTGTATAGTAAATCGATGCAATTTCTCGAAAAATCAAATAAGACAGCTGCAAATAAGACGAAAACGATTCAATACGGTCTGAACGACGAGCAACCATTTGATCAGCAGAAACAGGGAGCTCAAGCCCTTTTGAACGTGGATTCAAAAAGTATAAATTGGTCAGATACTGACCGTTTCATGGGACCCTTTAGAAGTGTTGGCTCTTTGACCGTGAGTGATCGATCATTTTTAAATTATTAATCGTTTATTTTTTCATAATCGAATTTTTTCTGCCAAGATTGAAAAAGGTCAAGAAGATACCGATCCAATTTTATCAAACTCAACTCAACCGCTGATTCGTTCGTCTCAGCAAGCGATCCCTTTTCTACCATCCACGCCCCAAGATAATTTTGTAAGATTTATTAAAGAAAAAGAAGAGGCATTAGACGCTCAAAATTATCAAATAAACAAGCCCAATAGTAGTCCGTGGATCGGTACCACTAATTTTCCAGGGGCTACGGAACCGTATCAAAGACAAGGAAAACCAAACTCAGAACGTAGCAGCGGACACATTTCCATGTACGAGGAAAATGAAGAAAATTCTCGATTAGTACCTCATGCGATGAATCCAGTCGATGATAATTTTTATCAAGTTAATCATCACCAAAATGAAAATTTTGAGAAACCAACAAAATTTCACGCAGTCGGTTACGTCATGCCACTTCAAAATTCGCAAAATCAACAAGCAGCCCCTGATGTACGCGTCCAACAATCACAAATGCCTCAAGCTGCCATCCAACAGCAAAAGCAGTACAATACGATTCCACAGGTGAGTTTCAATTAATTACTTCACGCTCGTTTCAAAAAATTCCTACGTTGAGTTTAATTTTATCGTAATGTAAAGCAGCACGAAAATTTATATGCGCATTACCAACCAAATCAATTCGACCCTATGATGCTACACGACAGAATGTTGTACTCCAAACCCGAAACAATAATCAACGTTCATCCGATTTCTTACCAAGCCTCGTCGATTGATTTACCGTCGAAACCCAAAGCCATCATGTTTTTTACGTCTCACGATATGAGACCTTTGAGAAATTACCATCAAAATTATAACCAGCATCCACTCTTCGATCAAGCCGCTGCTGGAGTAGCGAATATCGAACATCACATACCGTATATCGCTGGAAACCCTATATACATCGAACCTCAGCAGAAAAGGTTAGTCGGAATAACCATGTTTACACGCTACCGCTCGTTAATTAACAAAATTATCTTATCATGCTGATATGAATCGTTTTTAATTCAGGGACATTTATGATGCTGTTAATTTTTAATAGTTTGTCGTGCTTTAATTTCACTTTTTAATTGCAGCCTTTCTCCTTGGAAGAAAATACTTCATATAATAGGTGCATTTTTACCATTAGGTCTACTTTTTGCCCTCTTATCGCCGAAAATGCCACCTCCTAGCCAAAACAAGTACGTATATTAATGTTTTGTATTTCATTATGTATAAGACGAACAAAACTTTCATTCGTTAATTTTCACAAGTCTGTGGTCAAATTATAAATAATAAATACATTGGTACAGGGAGTTGATTCATCAAGAAAAATGATGAATTCACTCTTGATAATTGAGTACTCGAATTATCGTACACCGATCTCTCATGATCAATGATTTTTGTAATAAAAAAAAATTACTGCCTGCTGGTAAAATAGGTTTCTAGCTCTTTTATACCCTGAGGAGAGAATGTGAAAGTACTTTGATAACCGAGTAAACTTTGGCGCGGAAAAAATTGAACGTTCGTTGTTGAAGTTTTAATAGTCACACAAATCTGATATAGTTTCACTGACATACAAGATTTAGTTAAAATTAGTTTAGAAGTTAGTTATTTCAAGTCTATAAATTGTTTTAATCTATTTATTATTGAAAGAATAACAATATATTTTTCTGCAGCGATGCAAACATCATATTATCCAAATTTCGAGGTAACGATCCGTCAATTGAACATAAAAATAACAATTATGTTTTGGATGCGGTTACTGGCTGTGAGGAACATTCAATTTGTCGACTTATAGCCACTGTCGATTCATCTCGGGCGGCATTTTTACGTCAATTATTAGAACACGTCACTGAAAAGTAAGTCCACTAAACCAACAGAATCATAATTTTTTAATGCAAAAATACCCGCATAAAAATATCGAGGAAAATTTTTGAGGAAAAAAAAGTATGGAGGTATTTATCTTGAATAAGCTTGATTATTTAGATCGGTACATATAAATCTTTGTTGTCTTGCATAACTATTATGATAAAAATAAAAATATCACAATTATTTCATAATCAAGTAAAAACAAAATAAACTTCAGTCGTATAAATTAAAAACTCAGGTCATGTTTAACACGTTCATCACACATTACTACATGATTATGATTATCATTCATTCGTTAAGCGATTTCTCGCTCTTTAAGCAATGTGTTTAGTTATTAATTCAAATAATTACATATATTGTTTGCATTAATAGCAATTCAATGTTGAAAGTTAAAATGCCAAACTTCGTGTGTAGACTTTGAAGCAAAACGTTAATGGTACGATAATTTGCCAGAACTGATACTCAAAGTGCTGCATTTACAAATGCACTCATGAATATTTTCAGCAAGAAGTAGTACCATATATTAGTTTTGTGAAATGATGAGTTAAACGAGTAAAGAGTAGAAAATTTTAAGCTGCACGTCTTTCTCGCATTTCACGCGAGCGTTCAAAAGCTCATCCGCGGCGCAAGCGTAAATTATTCAATATTTGTTGTGGCAGTTTAATTATTGTGTTTTCGATTTTGCAGGACGACCGAATCGGCCGTGAGAAAGAAAGAGCTGGACCGAATATTCGAAGCGGCGAAACTCGGCAACTGTGACATATTAACATGCAATTTCAACGATGACACTTAGCGGAGTCTACAAGACGGAATATCATTTTCTACTTTTAATAAGGCGATAACAGCATATCATATCTAATAACGACAAAATTATTCGAAAAAAAACATATTTTTTTAAACGATTTTAATTATGCAAAGAGCGATTCGTAGACAGATTGTACAATATTATACGCGCGAATGATTGTGTCTGCGGCGTAAACTTATCAATAAAACACGATTCCATGAAGGAGTTTGAGCATCAATATCACGAGATTCTTATCGATCGACTTTTTCTGCGAAATAGTCCAGAGCGCGACGTAGGTTATTGCTACTGGCGCGCGCCAGACTTAACGAGATCTCCTCCGTATAGCCGTTAAAGAGAATAAAAATCATAAAGACGACGACGGGAGCACACGAAGCTCATGTATATCTCAAGAGGGTTGACTGGAGCTGCAGCGCCTGTTAGAAAACACTTTCACGTGTGGCGGAGCAAGTCTCATAGATAGCTTCGGCTCGAAAACGCGAAAGTTATTTAGCCATGAAAAGTCTCGGTAGGTATGTACATGTGCACACACACACATACAGAGATCGCTTCTGTAGCTGGCTCGCGAGCGCATGGGAACCCGTTTTTGAGAATGAGATTCGCGACTATACTCGCGTGCGCTCGGCTCGCGGCTTTATAGCAGCCAGGCTCGGTTTCGTGTTCATTGACACGAGTGAAAGTAGTAGTGATCGGCGTCGTCGTGGTCGCTCGCGCTCCTGCCCGAGAGTCTCAAAGGCACTATCGTCTCTCTCTCTCTCTCTCTCTCTTTCTTTCTTTCTCCAAAGGAGAGCATTGCCGCATGTAGGTCAAATTGTATACGTATGAAACTGCGCTTAGTAGATGTATGTACGTGTCTTGTGGGCAAGCGCGAGGCAATGCATATATGCACGAGACCGCGCGCGCACACACACACACATGGGTCCCCGGTACTATATACACACTACTCACGATAAACGCGTTCGTATCCTGGTGACGTTTGATTGCCTCGCGCGCTACTGCTAACTCGCCATTATGTATACATGTATGCATGTTCGCTTACATACACGTATCGTGTGCGATGGATATAGATATAGGGTGTATATTATTTACGATTAGCGAAAACGCGCTGGACGAGCACGCCGCTAGGGCCCTGACTGTGAAAGCTCACCGCGCGATCTCGCTGCTGTCCATGCTGCTCACTGGTCTGGAATATTTAATATGTATTTTCA